TGCAGTAGGTCGATGAATTGGTTGGGTAGGCGTCCTGATAGTTGAGATTTGGTTTTTCATCCAATAAAGTCACTGAGGACTTGTAGTGGATTCAACGGAAAGTGCTTAAGGGTCTTGAGATTCGTTGGTGTATTGGTGAATATTCATCCGGTCTTGGAATGTATATGCGCTAGGCTTGGCTGGTTAAACCTCATCTAGGTCATAAAATCATAACTTCACATTCAAATACAATATCTTTCAATTTTAGATTCTAGGGTTCTTAGTGGCCTTTTTACCTAAATCATCAAATCCATTAATGGAATGATTGGTTTGAGATTGGAACCAGCAAAACCCATCCAAAGAGGGTTAGAAATTGAAACCCTAATCATAAAATCCTACTAAACTCGACATTGGGGTTTTACCCTCTTCACAACTTCGAATTTTATGGGTAGTGGAGAAGAGTTTTACCTAGCTAGCCTTAATTCCTTCTTGCCCAATTCTGCTCTTTAATCAACCCTTAAATGTCAAGAAATTAAGCATTCACCATTAGAGCTGTATCATCCTCGCAAAATACGTCTAGCAAGAATGAGGGAAGTGTGCTTGCATCTTATTTCCTCAAATTTTCACTTATGTTCCCCCTAGTTTGAGAATTTTGTTAGTTCTGACCATTACTTGCATTTTCCTAACTCTAACATGTTATTTGATATAATTTAACCATTAACATCCTTATTTTATTTTTAAACTAAATTTTAGGATGTTACAGTCTTCCCATCAGAGTTTCAGTTTTTAGGGTGAACATTGCACCTTATCAATACTTGTATTACCAAATTTTGGAATATTATGGTTTTGTTTACAATAACATAGCTAAAGGGAAGAAGATGATGAGGATAGTCTTCATTTTTTTTTTTGGAAAATTATGATTCTAGATCTCATGGAAAGTGGCGATAATACTAGAAAGAATATAAGAGTGTGGAGGGCATGTGAAAAGAGAAACACAAAAAGGAAAATTTTTTGTCTCTTGTAGTCAATGCATGTATATATTAACTGAAATAACCCCAACGACTATTAATTTAAAGACAGAAAAATGTGGCATCCTTTGAAATTAGGCATCAAAGTTGAAACAATGAACTATTTGGTACCAAACTTTTGTTTTAATAATTTACATGAACCAAAGACTCTAATTTACTTTAAGATTTATGATTCTTATGTTTGTGGAATAATTATTGGACAATTTTTAGATTTATGCTTACTATGTTTCTGGTTGAAATTTTAAAATTGGATTGGATGCTATTTTTTTTTTTTTTTTTTTTTTTTTGCATTTTGTTCTAAAAAATTTGATCTTAATGATTTTTGATTTCTTCTAAAAATGTGATTTTACCGACAAATCTCTAATATATATATTAAAACATAAACCTTATGACATCATCTTAAACAATCAGGGCTCTTGATTGTATTTTATCATTATCTTTTTCATCTTTAGATATTTTGCTGACATCACCCTTCACCGCATTCAATTCCAATAATCTTTAATATCTCCCCATCAATTACCTTTTTGAAATGGAATGTATTTAATTCTAATAATAACATCCTAATTTTTAAACATAATTTTTTGTCATTCCTTTTTTAAATCTAATAGCATATACAAGAATTGTTAATGATATGATTGAATTTCTTCCATAGATCCTTGATCTTTGAAAATTTCAAGTGTTGGAATTTAAAAAATTCAAGATTTTGCGTTAACTGAATTGCTCTTTCACTTTACCTTTATTATCATGCAAAATATAGAGATTGAAATTTGAAAATCAAATTCATTTCTTCGTTTTCTTATATATGGAATTGAAAAGGAAGTTGAATTAAATTATCGTGGATAATTTAAACTTCTCACAATAACATTTTAGAACAATGTAATTGTTATCTTTTTGTTTGAACAAGTCACTTGATGATTTGCAGAATATGGATAAAATAGATGATACACTATCTTTTGCATGAATGATTCCTTTTGCTTTTCTTAAAGACATTCATCAAAAGTTTGTCACGACATATGGTCGAATAGTATTATTAGCCAAGGCTTATGGCATAAATGATGTATTCAAGGGTTCTTAACCAACAAATAGAATATTACTCAAATGATCCTAATGCAGATAGGATAAACCATAAAGTTGAAATGAGCTAGATCAGCAGCGTCTTCTTCTTCTTCTACAACTTAAATCTTTAATCATTTCTGCATATATTTAGATCCCCCATTAACCAGTTATTCTAAACCATTTAAGTTTTTATAACAGTAACGTCCGGTAAATCATAAATTATCAATTAACTTGAAATTTTGAATAAATATAATTGATATCTTTATTTCTTTCCAGCTAAATATCCGAAAATATCCTATATGATATCTTAAGGTCCCTGATTTTTTTTTTGGAAAATAGTGTTTTCCTTATTCAAAAACACACACACACACACACACACACATATATATATATATATATATATATATATATATATATATATATATATATGATTGCATTGAATCTGTTATTCTCACGATTATGCTAATTATTTTATCTATATTTGGAAAATTATTATAAGTAAAAATTAACAATTATGATAATACTGATCTGAAATAATTAAAAGAATAAGAACTTAGGAAATATTTAAATAAAAAATATTTGATATGAATATAATTATCATTAATAACTTTTAAACTAAAGTTATTATGACATAAAATAAGCATACCCTTAAAACCTTATGCTTTAGATATTAGAGGTATATGACTTAAAATACTCGCTATTGGAATTATTTGCATATTGTTGTTTAAAGTGGTTGAAATTAGAGCTACAAGTACGAAACTTGGGATTCCATTATTGGATATCAAGAAAATAGTAATTAAATTTACAAATAAAACATAACAAATGAGATTAAGTTCCTGTATGGTGAATCAAATTAATGAATTTGAGATAAATATGGCGGAACCTTTACCTGTTTTCAATGTCTTTAATGGAAACACAGCTAACTCGACAATCACTTTTCCCATATTGCCCCTATATATCAAATCCTTTTCTGACATAAAAGGAATTTACCAAATTGCCCCTTATTATTGTAACCTTCTACGTTTAAAAGTTAAAACAGATAGAAATTAAGACCTCAAAATACGATGGACATATTGATTCGTTTTTCCCATCCCTTCAACATCGACTTAAGTCGATCGTTTGTTCACCTTTGAATTCATCATATTATATTCGTTATTTCCCATTCTTTCAATATCATATTCGGTCGATCGTTTAACAATTATTTAGAATATGTCATTACTAATTTTTAGTAATTTGGGTTCTAATACATACTTAAGCAATAAATTCTTTGCTTATATGTAAAAGTATTACTTTAATAATTGCTTGATATTCAAATTTTGATATTAATTTTTTCAATAAACCTGTGTAATACAAGGGTCTCACACCTAGTAGGACACTGAAGTTCTCCCATTTGTTTGATTAATTTCTTTTTCTACGACATTTATGAATTTTTCACACATATTACCTCTTGTTTTACTTATTGCTTGTTAATTCGACCTATCAGATCACTTCAAGTCATTATACGTTTATGGTATACACATTTGTTGCTTCATCAAATCAATAACGGAGTACACTATGGATTATGATTACTACATATATTTTTTGTCAATTCGACTTATCAAATCACTTCATATCCAGTTATCATCATATGTTTATCTTGTTTTGGATGAGGCAATTATTAGTGGAGGTGTAGTTTATTTCTTATTGTCTAACTATGACATTTTGGGATTCAATATATATTCGGAAGAATATTTAGTGATATTTGCACCTTCTATTATTAATGATTTCAACCCGTATGCATCGAGGCTTATCAAGTTTGACAGAAAATTGAGATATTTTCTATAAGTGAAGATCGTTTGTAGGCGATTTGGGTTTTCATTAAGAATCGGTGGGTTAAAATAGATGTTAATAATTACAATACCGGTACAAATTAATGGTGGGTCTATTGAAACAATCTCCTTTATTTCTTTAAAATAGATATGATTAAGTATGTCGTTACGGCACATCGTTTTCATAAAGTATTATCATTTTGTTCAGATTTTGAGATGGTGACTATGCCAAGTAGAAATGCATAATTTTATATATTTTAAATTGCATTCGAAAACCGTTAATTTTTCTATTTAAGATATTTATTATTTTATACTAGTTTATGATTGAGTACTTTTTTTTTAAATCGATAGTTTTAATCTTCAACTCATGTTTTATTTTGTTTTATGATATTAATTTTTTCTATGTTACTTTCTTTTTTTTATGCTTACTTTTTATAATTTTATATGTATTTTTTTATATATTACCACGATAAAGCGTGGGTCATAATCTAGTTAATGATGTTACTTAATGATGTTATTGTGTCACTAAGTTAGCTAGACATAAATTTCATATGTGATCCATGTTACGGTTAGAAATCAGATTCCTTTTCTTAGGTTTTGCGTAGCTTCCCAAGTGCACAACTTTCTTTTTGGGTTCTGAAAGGCAGAGTAGCTTCATCGTTAGGGATATAGTTCCAGTGAGCCATATATCAACCATAGGTTGCGGAACTTTCGAGATGCTTCCTTGCGAAAGTCGTTGCAAAAATCATGAAAATTGTCGGTAACAATTCATTGGTAATTTATCACAGAGCTATTCTTTCAAATCATCAAAACTAGAATGCCAGAAATCTGTTAGCAGTAGCAACATATAAATTTTTCCGTAAACTGCCTATCTGTTGAAAATCTATCAAAAAAATAAAATGATCATGAGTTTTGTTCGATAGATTTGTTAGCTGGAATTGCCCTGTTGTATATATGTAGTTATGAAGGATGGTGGATATGTTACGTTGATACAGATGATGATAGTAACAAGATGTTAGCTATATAATTATTGAAAATTTTAATGAAAATGATACACAAGCATATGTAATCTAGCATCAACAAATCAAAAAGCTTTCTTCACATATTTCATCAATAAGTCAGTTCTGATCTAGCCTAGCAAAGTTAGAATTTTGAAGAATATGAGAGCGAAGAGTTTGATAAAAAACCGATCTTTCTTCATCAACCTCTTCTCTAATGAGATTTCCTCTACCTCCACACGTAGAGACCGAAACTCAAGATCAAAAATGTCTGATCTACAAAGAGGGCAGTTCGAATGAGTTTGAAACCAAGTATCAATGCATGATACATGGAACACATGAGAGCAATTCGGTATAGTTTTCACCCAGTCATCATCTTCATATTCACCCAAACAAATTGAACATTCAGTACTTTCATCGCAATGATTCACTTTATCTGATTCTATTTTTTTCTTAAACTGTGTTACGGGAATCATTTGCACAGCGAATGAGTCTAGCCCACGGCTTTGGAATTGTAGGGAAGGATCATTACCATCTAGATTTGTGTCACGTAGACGCCTCCTTTGAGCATTTCCTGAATATACGTGAAATGAACAGCGTCGTAGTATGTTAAAATAACTAAAAACTAGAAATAGGGTTCCCATGGTTCCAACCATAGCAATCACTAATGGACTCCATGGTGTATGCTGTAAGCTAGGAGGCTCTACAGGACTTGAAGCCATAAATGCAGGTCGAATTCAAAGATGGGGTTCAAGAAATTATCTTTCGGTGGTACTATAAAGACATTATAATTTTTCGACATGACTGCTTGGTATTTTGTTGAACATGGATTAAGATGATGATGAAAACAAAGTGATAACCGACGCAAACAAGGTTGTGGTGATACTTCTTAGGGTCAAAGATTCTATTAGTTCACTTCCTCGTTAATTTGTTATAATCTTGTTTTTGGTTTCGATGTTTTTATTGTTTTTGTTGGACCAGACAACGCCGAATATGTATTTTGTTGATGTAATCCAGTTTTTTTCAACATGTTTCTTTTATTTAATAAGTTTTGAATAAGTCATGTGCCATGTTGGCCATTGGACCGAGTCTAGAGGAGTTAGTGTAGTTTGTTTCCTGTTTTCTTGCTTTTTCTTTAGCTTAAATGGGCAAGTGTACGTATTGTCATTTTCATCTGAACCTCCAAAAGTGAATAAGAAGTGTGCAACTTTTGCCCCACTGTTTTGTTTCTTGTGTTTGTCTCAAGTTTTGTCACTATCATCTCTGCATCCCTGTGTAAAAGGCTAACATTTGGTATCAAAGCTTAGAGAGGAAAAAATTGAACTCGTCATCTATTGATTCAAAATTGACAGAATGAACATTTTCAAAAGCTTAATGGAAGATAGCGTCAAACTTAATCTATCAATTCTAAACATATTTACATTTTTGACCATATACAATTTAGAATTACAAATTGGTCCTTCTAACAGATGACTTGATCTTCTTATTGCTTGCTTGGACTTTTCTTGATCTTGCGTTTGACTTCCCTTAATTGAAACTTTAATATCCTCCCCTCAAGATGAATTTTGATGAATGTCATCAAGATTCATCTTGGATAGAAGAAATTGAAATTGGGGTCCACAAAGGCCTTTTGTGAATAGGTCTGCTAGCTGCTTATTTGTTGGAACATGTTGTGGTAAAATGAATCCATGTTTGAATTGTTCCCCCACTATATGACAGTCAATATCGAGGTGTTTAGTCCTCTCATGAAAGATTGGATTTTCTGTTATGTGTATCGCAGCTTTATTATCACACCATAGTGATATAGGAACCTTGAATTTTACTTTCATATCTCTAAGGATGTAGCTTATCCAAAGAAGCTCACAAACAGTAGCTGCAAGACTTCTGTATTCCGCCTCACAAGAGGATTTGGAAACTGTCTTTTGCTTTTTCGTTTTCCAAGAGATTAATGAAGAGCCCATGAATATACAATAACCGGTAAGTGATTTTCTTGTGTTTGTACATGTTGCCCAGTCTGAGTCACTATATGCAGTAATAGTAAAAGGAAATGTCCCTTTCTTGAAGAAAAGACCTTTTGAAGGACAACCTTTGAGATATTTTAAAACATGCAGACCAGCTTTCCAGTGTATTTCTGTTGGAGAATGTAAGAATTGACTCAGCTGCTGTACTGCATAGCTGATGTCGGGCCTTGTAAAGTTAAGGTATAATAACCTTCCAACCAACCTTCGATATTTTTCAGGATCATGTAACAATTTTCCTTTATCAGAACAAAGTTGTATATTTTTCAAAACAGGTGTAGTAGTTGGTTTTGCTCCAGTTAATCCAACATCATCTAAAATATCCATAATGTACTTTCTTTGATTGACAAATAACCCTTGCTTGTCCTAAATCCTTTATTGTAAAAGCTTTATGAAGTTGATCTTTGACCTCTTGAATTAACTTTTCATTTGGTCCGGTGATCAAAACATCATCAACATAGACAATTAAAGCCAAAAAATTATCACCTTCTCCTTTTGTGAACAAGCAATGATCATGAGCTGATTGTACAAAATCAAAGCTCAAAAGTTTGTTACAAAATTCAATATGCCATTGTCTACTGGCTTGTTTAAGTCCATAAAGTGACTTATTCAGCTTACATACTTCACCATCTTTTGCATTAAGATATCCTTGAGGTGGTTTTAGATAAACTTCTTCATCTAGAAAACCATGTAAAAATGCATTGTTGATATCCAACTGATGCAAAAACCAATCATTGGCAGTGGATATGGACAAAAATAACCTTACTGTAACAACTTTGGCTACCGGAGAAAAACTATCCAAATAATCAATCCCATAGGTTTGATTGTACCCCTTTGCCACTAATCTTGCCTTAAATCTTTCAATCGTGCCATCTGGTTTGAGCTTTACTTTATAGACCCATTTTGACCCTATAGGTTTCTTGTTAGGTGGCAGGGGCATAATTGTCCAGGTATTATTTTCTTCTAGAGCTTTGAGTTCTTTGTTCATAGCATCAATCCAATTTGGATCATCACAAGCTTCTTCATATGTTTTGGGTTCACTGATCTTTGAAACAGAACAAAGAAAACTTTTGTGTGTTTCAGTTAGAAGATTAGATTCAAAATAAGGATATGTAGGAGGACAATGTGGTAAACTGAAGGATTTTGAAACATATTTGGAATTTGGACTTTGACTACAATGCATTATGTAGTCGTTAAACCATGAAGGTTTTCTTGAAACTCTTGTAGTGGATCTGATATGAACTTGGCCATCTTCTTGTGGAACATTTTGATCATTTTCTTGTATCATTTGATCAGCATCATTTTCTTGTACCATTTGATCAGCACCAAAATTAGGTACTTCTTGTTCATTTTGGATATCAAATTCATCAGAATTATAGGAATCTGATGGGATAAAGTCTTCAGGGTGTGTTTGAAATGGGATTTCTTGAGTAGATTCTTCATTTTCTATATGTTGTACCAAACTTTCTTCACTCATAGGAGCTTGAGGACTGTTTTTGAAAGGAAATATATTTTCATAGAAAATTACATCTCTTGACATAACTATCTTTTTATCTGTCAAATCATATAGTTTGTAAGCTTTCTGTCCTTGATTGTATCCAAGAAAACAACACATGATTGCTCTTGATTCAAATTTTGTTTTGTATGGGATCACATTTGTTGCAAAGCATAAGCAGCCAAAAACCTTCAAATTTGAATAACAGGATCCCTTTTATACAAATATTTGAATGGTGTTTCCCACTTTAACACTGTTGAAGGCAAAATATTAATCACATAAGTTGCCATCAAGATTGCATGTCCCCAGAAATGAATAGGTAATCCAGACTGTGACAAAAATGCTTTTGCAATCTGTAATAATTGTTGGTGTTTTCTTTCAACTCTACCATTCTGTTGTGGTGAATAAGGAAATGTCCTTTGATAAATAATTCCCAAAGAAGAAAAAAGATTACGACAATTATGGTTTATAAACTCAGAACCATTATCCGTTCTGATGTATTTCACACTGGTTTTGAAATGATTCACGGTATAGGCAAAGAAATTTGAAAGGGTTTTGAAGACTTGGGTTTTGTCCCTTAAAAGGAAGGTCCAAACTGATCTTGAATAATCATCCACAATGGTCAGAAAGTAGTATGCTCATGTAATGGTTTGTATTTTATATGGGCCCCACATATCTATGTGTACAAGTTTGAATATTTCATCTGCATGAGAATCACTAATAGGAAAAATAAATCTTTGTTGTTTTGCATGATGACACGGAATACATGGTACAAGTTCACAACCTTTCTTCTTAGGAATAAAATCCAAATGTTCCAATACAGATTGAGAAGAATGGCCTAATCTTTGGTGCCATATTGAAAAATTGCTAACAATCTGATTTCTAACAATATTACATAGTTGTTTATTAACCACACTATGAGCTTTGTGAGAATCATGAACATGATCAAACAACAAACTCTTATTGTCTAGAACATACAGCTTTCCCAATATCTTCCCTCTTGCCAAAAATCTTAGAAGTTTCCAGGTCCTGCAATATGCAAAATGTAGAATAAAACTTGAAGACGATTTTTGCAGATGCAGCCAGACATTTCACTGATAAAAGATTACATTTGAAGTCTGGTACATGTAATACATTTTCGAGGCTTAATCTTGGATTTAACTCTATTAATCCTGTATGAGTGACTGGTTTAATAGATCCATCTGGTAGAAAAATTGGTGTGTATCTATTCACAGGATTTACATTCTTCATGAGGGTAATATGGGAACACATATGAGCAGTAGCTCCAGTATCCAATATCCATATAGTTTATCAAAAGAATCACTTCTTAATGCATTTAGTAATGAAAATTTCATACCTGCAAAATCTCCAAAGTGAGCCATATTTGCAAATTGTGAATCCATTTTCTGATTGGCCTTCAAGAACTGATTAAACTGCTGAAGAAGTGAATTCATAGAGTCATTGTTGTGTGAATTCACAGCAGTAGATTCTTTGTTGTCATACAAAAGGATTATCAACACTTTCTTGATGATTAGTATTTGCCATGTGTGCCGTATTATAGCTATTTTTCTTTTTTTCTTTGAGATCCTTAAACCAATCAGGATATCCATTTAGTTTGAAACAAATTTCTCTTACATGTCCATTCACCTTACAGAAGTTACAATAACGATCTCCTCCATTCTTGTTCTTGAAATCAGATTTTGGTTTGTATGAGAATTGCCTCTTGTCATTGTTATTCTGATTCAAATTCTTCATAAACATTACAGATGCTTCAGTAGGAATCGAGAAGTTAATTTGAACTTCTTTTTGTTTTTCAACACTTAGAGCCATTGAGTATGCCTTATGAACAGAAGGAAGAGGATCTAGAACAAGAATTTGATTCCTCAAATTCTCGTATGTGTCGTTTAGTCCCATCAGAAATTGCATAAGACGAGTAGATGATGTAAAATCAGAAATAGCTTTAGCAGAACCACAATTACAAGTAGGTAATTGAACAACACAGCTTAATTGATCACATAATTGCTTCAATTTCGTGTAGTACTTTGATAAAGAACAATCACCTTGATTAATAGAAGCAATTTGTCGTTGAAGCTGATAGATGAGTGGACCATTATTCTCTCCAAAATGTTCTTCAATTTTAAGCCACAATTCACGAGCAGTTGTAGAGAAAACAAAGGCTCCAACAATTTCTTTTGAAATCGCATTTAGC